CACATTACACACACAGACAAACTATTTTCCGCTCAATAAATGGCAATATAATACATAGATAACATCACTCTGGATGACAAATGGTTGATATACAGTGAAACGACTTACAAATGACATAAGTTGACAAAACATGACATAAGATGACATATGACTGTCATTGTCTCTGGGTAACTCCTACATGGTAGGCGTCTGATGATCAGTCCCAGAGGAGGACAAAGCACTATCTTACAATAACAAAGAACTGTAGGGCATCCCATAGCCAACACACACCTCTCTCTCTCTCTCCTCTCCTCTCTCTCTCTCCTCTCCTCTCTCCTCTCTCTCTCTCTCTCCTCTCTCTCTCTCTCTCTCTCTCTCCTCTACCTCTCCTTCCTCATCTCTCCTCTCCCCCCCCTCTCCTCCCTCCTCCCCTCTCTCCCTCTCTCTCTTCGCTCTCCTCTACCTCTGCATCTCTCTCCTCCCCATTCTCTCTCCCGCCTCCTGCTCTCTCTTCTCACTCACTCTCTCGTGACCGATCCTCATCTCCTCTCTCATGCTCGTCCCTGCCTCTCGTCATCCTCCTCCTCTCGTATCATCTCTCTCTCTCTCATCTCTCTCCTCTCCCTCTCCCCGTCTTCCCTCTTCAGCCCTCCTCCCTCTCTCTCTCTCCCTCCCGCCTCGCCCATCTGAGATGTACAGCTACTTACAATACACGGTAAGATGATTTACAGTCAGAAGAGAACTCACAGCTTTTGTGGATGTCAGAACTACAACAGGATGTCAGGCTCATGTACCCCTTATAGTACCACTCTAGGAACACAAGAAGCAGAAGCAGCTCCAGAAAAACGTGGGTGTAGTGGATGGATGGAATTGCATTTCTTTCTGGCTCAAAATGTCTGAGAAAAGTAACAGCGTAAATAAAATAAAAAACGAATGAGAAAAAGGGTGTGAAATAAAACCTGGGTAAGAGGAAATAAATAAATATAATAATAACCATTTAAAGCTGATCAGATCATTGTCCTCAGTGTGGTGTGACCTCTCACTCCTCTTCTTCCTCAGCCTCCTCCTCCTCTTCCTCACTGTTCAACAGTGTTCCAGGTCACTGTCCTGCCCCCCACCCCCCTTCCCCTCCGACCCTGAGATCCCAGAAAGCAGCAATGTGGGGTTGCGGGGGTCGCAGTGCTGTCTGTCATTGAAGGCGCCGGCTGGGGTGTCAACAGGGTGGAGGGGCAGGGAAGGGTGGCCTTGAGAGGTGTGGATGTGAGGTAGGGGGGGTGATTCTTCTGATGAAGTGTAATGGGGGGGGGGGGCTGGCGAAAGAGAGGCGGGGAGGGAAGGCCAGGGGAGGGGGGAGTGAGGAGGGGGGGGTGTCAAGAATAGATCAAGCCCTTGAGGAAGCTGAAGATGGAGGGACAATCACGTTGCTGGGAAGCGTCTCGCGTCGGGGAGGAAGCCAAACAAGGAGAGGAAAACTGCTCAGATTTTGGCACAGGAAGCCCAGTGAGCCTCCTGCCCGGGCCAGATAAGAGCGCTGCGGTTCCCAGGGCCAGGCCCAGGCCCAGGATAGGACCAAGGATCCACGACTGGACCCAGGGACACATCCACTACTACGACCCAGACCCAAGGATCCAGGACCAGACCCAGGCTCTAGACCCACACCCAGCCCTGAGGACCCAGGTCCCTATCAGCCTGGCCCAGCCCGGCCCACTGTCCCTGGGCCTCCTCCGGCGCAGCATCAGGCCCGTGTTCCGCCAGAGCTACAAAGAACAAGGGCCTGGTCAGGATGTATCTATCATCAGCTATCTATTCACATTCTGAATCACAACTTTAGAACTCTACAACTCTAGAACAGAATGCTAGAACTCTCAGTGCTTTACAGTGTGACCATGAAAACACACACAACATTTAATTGTAAATCAATTGAATAGACTGCTCATTCTGAACACCAAACCTCTTGTAGCCTACCTGTCTGAATATATCATTTCTTATGAAATAACTACACTGTGTATGTACTGCTGAGGTTAGTGTTTGTGAAAGAGGCCAGTTGTGGTCGTCATGCAAAACTTTACCTGATAAAACTGGTTGATCATTGTTGTATGAGCCTAGTTAGGTCTTTCCACATGGTAAGGTGGAAAGGCCAATTTGAGTTTAACTAAGTAAAGCTATTCATGTTAAGGCTGTCAGTATTCACTGCTGATTGGCAAGATAATGGTTCAGTGAAGTTATGTGATGTTGCTATGGAAATTGAATGTGGAGATGTGGAGATAAAGAGTTTCCACAAGCATTGGAAGTAGGCAGAGTGTGTTAGTGTGTGTGTGTGTGTGTGTGTATGGGCTGGTGTGAAAGGTCAAGTACACCGTGCACCTATGATGTCACAGCGTGTCTCTGTGGGGAATATAACAGTGTGGTAGTTTAGTCTGGAAGCCATGATGCTCAGGTTATGGTTATAGTGTCTGACCTCCAAGACCTGCCAAGTGTGTGTGTGTGTGTGTGTGTGTGTGTGTGTGTGTGTGTGTGTGTGTGTGTGTGTGTGTGTGTGTGTGTGTGTGTGTGTGTGTCAATCACAGTTGATTGTTGGGCAGGGTCACTTCTCATGAGAACTTGAGAATGTGTGTGTCTTAAGATCAGTGTGTATGTGTGTTGGAATATCATAGCTTACTGTTGGGCAGGGCTGTTTCTCACAAGACCTTTAAAAAATGTGTGTGTCAGTGTATGAGGGTGTGTGTCATGAGAGAGGTGAGTGTGTGTGTGTGCGTGCGTGTGTGTCAGATATTAGAAACGGCATCCCAGGACGCAGTGTGCAATCACAGTAATAAACAGCCATCTCACCCTGTGTTCTGGACAGGAAAATCACAGCGTTTGATTTAGGAACCAACTAATCGGGACTGAGAACACAGAACAGGCCTCTATTGAAGTGACTGAGAACACAGAACAGGCCTCTATTGAAGTGACTGAGAACACAGAACTGGCCTCTATTGAAGTAACTGAGAACACATAACAGGCCTCTATTGAAGTGACTGAGAACACATAACAGGCCTCTATTGAAGTGACTGAGAACACATAACAGGCCTCTATTGAAGTAACTAAGAACACATAACAGGCCTCTATTGAAGTGACTGAGAACACATAACAGGCCTCTATTGAAGTAACTGAGAACACATAACAGGCCTCTATTGAAGTGGGCTTTTATTACTCTGCTCTTTAAGTCTGAGTTACACTGTACTGTGTCTGAAAATGTACCAGGCAGACACACACACACGGATGGACGGATAGACACACACAGACGGACAGACGAACGGACAGATAGACAGACGGACACGGACGGATACACACGGACATGGACACACACACACACACTAACATATACACAGTGACAGAAACATATGGTAAAAGACTCAGACAAAGACATGACGAAACAAACACACACACACACACACTCACACACTCACACACACACACAGACATGAAAGGCTTCCAAAGGCATCTGTTCTGGTTGCAAAAAGGAAACCCTGTCTGAAAACATGCTGAAATAGACAAAACATGTCTCCCTTCACAAACAAACAACACACACACACACACACACACATACAGACACTCACACACATTCTCCCATTCACACCCTAAAACAGGCTCACATCTGATAGTCACACACACTTCTGCCCCAATTCTAAGTTAGAAACAATATGACTAAATTACATCATAATAATAATAATAATATGTTTTATTGTCACATACACCAGATAGGTGCAGTGAACTGTGTTGTTTTACAGGGTCAGTCATAGTAGTACAGCACCACTGGAGCAAATTAGGGTTAAGTGCCTTGCTCAAGGGCACATCGACAGATATTTAGCCTTGTCGCCTTGGGTATTCGAACCAGCGACCTTTCGGTTACTGACCCAATGTCTAACAGGTTTTAAGAACTACTTAAACTTGACAGGTTTGTTCTGGCACAAAGTTTACATGTGGCATGCACA